CAACTGAGCAAAATATCTGAATAGAATCTTCCTAAGACTTATTCATTTCTCATATCTTCCTCCACCACGTAATGAACCCAAAATCTTTGTTGCAAACTGAACAAAACATTTGATTAGAATCTTAATATGAAGTATCTATTTGTCTGATGGTCTTCCAGGATGTAAGGAAATCGATATCTTTCTTTATAAGTGAATAAAATATCTGAAATGAATGTTTGTTTGAGGTGTTTATTTGTCGTGTGTTCTTCTACAATGTAATATACTGAGAATACTTTCTTAGAGCTGAACGACATATTTGAAATGAATGTTTGTTTAAATTATGCATTTGTCGTGTCATTCTCCATCATGAAATGATCTCGAAATGTTTCGTTCGAACGGAATAAAATGTTTGTATAGAATCTTACTATGAATTACCCGTTTGTTGTGTGTTCCTGCAGCATGTATTAAATTCGAAATTTTTTTTGGTAACTGAACAAAATATTTGATTAGAATCTTAATATGAAGTATCTATTTGTCGAATGATCCCCGTGATGTAAGGAAACCGAAACCATTGCTTACAAAAGAACAAAATATCTGAAAGAGATGTTTGTTTGAGGTGTTCATTTGTCATGTGTTTGTCCAGAATGAAATGAAGTCAAAATATTTGCTTCGAACTGAAGAAGATATTTGGGATGATTTTTTGTTTGGGCTGTTTATTTGTGGCATGTTCCTAGACCACATAATGAAGCCGAAATCCTTGTTCCGAACTGAAAAAAATATTTGAATACAATCTCGTACGAATTACTCGTTTGTTTTATGTTCCTCCACCATGTAGTGAACGCGAAATCTTTGTTTCCAGCTGAAGAAAATATTTGAAGAGAATCGTCATATGAATTATTTGTTTGTTGTGTGTTACTGCACTATATAATGAACTCGAAATGTTTGTTTCCAACTGAACAAATCATTTGAATAAAGTGTTTGTTTGAGCTGCTGATTTGTCGTATCATCCTTCGCTATTTAATCAGTTAGAAGTCTTTGCTTCAAACCGAATGGAATGTTTGAATAGAGTTTTAGTATGAATTATTCATTTGTCTTACATTCGTTCATTATAGTTGCACATCTGTATGGTATTATTCATTTAGTATGTCCAAATACGTGGGATAGTTTAGAATTAGTGTGTTTTAAAGTTAGGAATAAGATGATATTACAGTGTTTGAAACTAGTCATTTGAGAGGTGATTGGTTTTACCAGCTTGTTTGTTTATGTGGTACTGCATGTAAATTACGGATGTTAAATAAACGTACATATGCTACTTCTAGTCGAAAGAAGGGTTTATTAATAAAACTTGAATATTGGTGAATAGGTTTTTTTCGGCAGCGTTCAGCGCCCAGAATGAAAGAAAGATTAAGATAGGTAGTGAGTGATTGATCGATTCTCGCGAGAATTAGGTGAATGGCAATTTTAATGTAGGACTGAATTGAAAAAGGTAATAACATGATTGAACTGTAGTTTAGCTGCTTGGGAAACTGCTAAGTCCGTTCACTTTCCGTGGACTTGAGGGTGTAGGTGTGTTATCGTGGATGAGGCATTTTTTTCCATTTATCATACACCGCACATCCACACACATATCCTTTCTTTTCCTTGTTATTTTAATAGTGAATGCGCCGAAGATGACAAAATTATGCCACTCCTACCTACTATTATTGTCGTCCCGCCCACTATCGACATAACAACAGAAAGAAAAAAAAGAATAGAAGGATACAGAAAAATTTAGGATGTATTTACATGCGTTTTGTAAGTTATACTTAAGGCACTGTAAATTTTGTTCTACTAATACAGCTTGAATAAGGTAACAAACACTACCAAATAGACCTAAGATAGTTCCATATTAGTTCTGATCCTCCGAACAGTTAGGTATCTAGGTCTATTACCGAAATGCCACAAATAAGAATAACATCGTTTCCTGAAAAAAAATTCCTATAACAATTATCCATTTAAGTGAGATTATATTTTCTTATCAAAACAACGATACATCTGATATATTTATAAGCCAGTGTGACTCAGTTTTAGGTATTTAGAATTATAATCAAATATCTTATAATCTAGCGTCGTTCAATGCACAATTTTTAAATTCGTATGTTTCTAGGAAGAGCTGACCATCATATGAATTTGATAATGACACAGCATGAATCTGCACGAAGAAAAGGATTTTTTCAAAAGAAGGAAGCAAACGCATTTAGACGCACTGGAAGGTTAAAAAAATATTACATTCTACTGGATGACCTTTATAGATGAGCCCAGTTATTTCCTCGAAATAAGAAGAATATTTGAATAGAATCTTAAAAAATAAGGCAGGTATATTATATCAATACAGTCTGTCGATGATAACTGATTGAGAAAATGTTCTGATATTTTGTCTTGTCATTTGTACATTCTTCTTTGAGATTATCATTTGAAGCACTATATAACATTGAACTAACTAACTAATTTTCTTTTTAGGATACATGGTACAAACGCACATCATACCGAAAATCGAACATTTTAATCAAGCACTATTATTATCAGGCATTATCTATTGCCTACCTTTCTCTTCTTCTAATATCTTTTAGTTAGTTCTATTTTCATTATATACCCAACTATTTACCTTTCTTCTTTGATATTCTTCAATTTTTTTGCGTATTTTTTTTCCAAATTTTCAATTCTAATAAAATATACACACCAATAACGTATCATGATTGTTACCATCTTGCGAACTATTTCAAATATTTACAATAATCAACACTAACGTAGGGATGTCAATCAGCTGCTACCAGATGAGTTTAACAGTAATGAAAACTTTAGTCACTAAAGTTTAGTGACAACCGTAAAAACAGAATTTTCAGAGAAAAAGACTAATTTAAATGTAAAAAATCTGTTTTCGCTCTGTAAATATATAGGTTATGATACAGTAGAAAGTACAATCTAATAAATAGTATTTGATGGTAATTGAGTTAAAACCAGTCGAGGATCAAGCGAGTTCTCTCGACGAGCGTTACTTGTTTATTTATATTGTATCGAATATCTTTATTAATGAAAAGAAAAAAAGAACATTTACTATTCTGACAAACATACAATTTATTGTAATAGAAGTCAATTGCATATTAAAAAAAAAGGAAAAGACTTCACTTAAAATACATACAAATGAACTGTATAAATTTTTTTTTGTAATTTTTCATCTAGATCGTTGCAATGTAAATATTCGAAGTATAACTGTATGACAACTCAGTTCTTGTACAATTAATTTATCATGTTCATGCATAATTTTTAATTGATTATGCTTATTATTCTTTTTAAAATTAATATCTTGACGACAAACACCAATAGGATGTTCAACAAGACGTATTATTGCTATGTCAGATACTTCAGATTCGAAAAGTAATGTTAATAAATTATTATAAGTATCAAAATAATGATCAGTTAAAACCGTTGATGATAAATCTAAAACTTGTTGAGGTGTTGTTTGTCGTCCATAACGTGTTATATGTCGTTCATTTGATAATCCTACTGTAGCTATTCCATCATCAATTGTATATAAATGTTTAATATTAGTTGATTCATCATGAATTAATTGCCAAACATGTACAATAGATTCTCGAATATCGATAATACAATCATGATTATTATTTGTATCAATAAAATAAACTTGACTATTTGGAGATAAATTATCAGTCCATGATCGTTTTAAATGCCCATTAGAAACCGGTAAAGAATCATTATTAATATGAAAAACGAAATAATCTTCGTTAATTCGTGTAAGAAAATGTTGTGTACTACAAAAAGCATAATCAAATAATGGACGCTCACAATTAAATGTAAATAAACATGGTGGACAAGAATTTATTAAAACATTGATTGGTAATAATTCATTTGGATGATCTGATAATGAATGAGATTTTATTGTATATTCATCGAGAATAGTATGAAGTGAATATAGATTGCAACTATAGAAAAAACAGAGAACAATTTCATAATAAAAAAAACAAATCAATTTACCAATTTCGTTGATTTTGCACGATAAGTAATTCATGTGTGATAGCTGCTTGTTTAAGATCTGAACCAAATATATGAGGTTCAATTAAAAATGCATAACTTAGCCATCGTGGCCAGATTCTTAATAAAATAAAAAGATGTGCACGTTGTTTATAACGTGTATGTATTGATATCATATGATTTTGTTCATGATATTCAAATGATTTTTCAAGAAATTTTACTGGAATTTCACATTGAAAACATATACCAGTTGGTGGCATACGTGATTTTAACTTAAAATCATATAAAAATAAACGTTGATCAGCTGTCATTAAAATAAAACCATCTTGTTTCGAATTATTTCTTCGTTCAAAATCACTGTATGTACATATGCCAATAAAAACAATTTTTACTGTACATAAATCTTCACCAATTAAAATCAAACGATTTTTATCAATTACATATAGATGAAGTGTATTTAATTGTAATGTTAACATATAATGACCAAGAATAAATGTTGATTTATTTGGTAATAATTTATATTCAGATGTTTGATCAGATTCTTGAAATTGACATAAATAATTAGATTTAAGTAAACGTCGAAGACATATTTCGTTGATAATTGCTGATGTTGATAATGAGCAATAAGGACGAATATGATTTAAACATGAATGTAATGATAATTGTTCAATAGAACGAATTGGTCGATGACTTATTAAAGAACGAATTCGATTTCGATATAAACAATTCGAACGAGATGATGACATGATCTAAAAAATGAAAATATACAATCTTAAATTATTCTGTACTTATATATATATAAAATATGAATATCAAATAATTAAAAACTAAAAATAGCTATATCACAATGTTCACAAATAAATAAAGTATACATGATTTAATGGTAAGAATTTGGTGCTTGCGATATTATTGATCTATCTCTATTACCATAATGTTGAAGACGAAGTTTACGTAATTCTAAAAAAATAATATAAAAATTAAAAATCGTGAAGATAATAGTTACATTATGTAATATTCACTCCTTCAAAATGAATTATGATACGATATATATATATGTATCTAATTCAACAAGAATTTCTCGCTGATCTTTCGAATACAAATATGAAAATATTTACAAAGTATATGTTAAGCTTCTAATCCGCTCGAAGTTCATCTAACGCAAGCACTCTCGAGACAAAATGAACATTCCATAGAATAATATGAAAGCTAAGTTAACAGAGACAGAAAACTAATCCCTCATATATGAAGTCGATGTTTGTAGCACAGTGTTATTTCTAATAGCTTACCTTCAATACTTGGCATCTCTACTACTTTTGGCGAAAATGACTGTGTATCTTTTGATGATAATGAATTGATATTTGTTAGATGTGTTAAGTTTTCATCCTTAGGCGATATTGAATGTACATCAGTTGGAGTAGATGAATATATTATCATCGGCTGTGTTGAGTTTTCATTCTCGGATAATCGTAAAGGTGTGTAGGTGAATGGTAGTGAGTTCGTACTCTTTGACGACGATAATGATAGTTGTTGTGTTGAAACTTGCTCTGAATTCTTTGCTGGTAGTGGGATCAATTCGGATGATTTATTAGCAGCACTATCTGTTACTAAACTAGCAGCAATGGCTCGGTCAAGTAATTGTTGATTTAGTTTTTCTGTAGAACCTTCGTGAGATGGAAGTTCATCATCATTTATTAGATGTGTTAACTTTGCATCCCTAGGCGATATTGAATGTACATCAGTTGAAGTTGATGAATATATTATCATCGGCTGTGTTGAGTTTTCATTCTCGGATAATCGTGAAGATGTGTTAGCGAATGACGATAATGATAGTTGTTGTGTTGAAATTTGCTCTGAATTCTTTGCTGGTAATGGAATTAATTCAGATGATATATTAGAAGCATTATCTGTTACTAAACTAACAGCAATGGCTCGGTCAAGTAATTGTTGATTTAGTTGTTCTGTAGAACCTTCGTGAGATAAAAGTTCATCATCATTCATTCCTAATTCATTAAGCATTGATTGATACATAACAAGTTGCTTTAAACCTTTTTCCTTCTCTAATGCGGTCTTTGTTTGGTCTATTCGTTGAGTATCATGATTGTCAATTGATTTGTTATTTGTATTGGGCGGTTGGCTCTTAACAATACATTCAGATGTTATAGCGTTATGTTCATGAGACTTATTCTGACTATCAAGACTGGGCTCATCGATTGTATATTCAGTGACTGCTTGAGGTTGACGACGATGATCTGGACAATTAGTTTTACGGATGGACGAATCTACAAGTCGAAAAAAAAACAATGAGAATGATAATGTTAAAGATGCAATAACCTGAGAAATCTGCAAGATCATCAATAGTTACACCGTTAGGTAAATATTGATTGAACTTTTTTCTAATATCTGGATCATTTGGATTCTTTTGTAATTCATCATACAAAGAGCTAGGTACTTTTATAACTGAATTTCCATTCTTATCTCGATATTTCGTATCTGGATCCACAATTAATTTTGGTAAATCTTTCGTTAATAATGTATATTCTGCTGGACCGATAGGATTATCTGTCAGTTTCTCATCAGCTAAACACGCTGGTAAAGTTCCATATACAATAAATACTGAATAACCCTTTTCCGTTATAAAATTTAAATATTCTGTAAGTGTTCTATCCGAAATTAATTCTGGTACATAATAATAGGAATTTAAATTAAAATAGTATGTACCAATTCGTCTTATAGTAAACCAATGAAGACCTAAGTTACATATATAAGCTGGAATACATTCAGGATTACTACGTGCTTGTTTAGCAATAGGATATTGGCTTGTATATGGGACTAACTCAATTTCAAATGCTTTCAATGCTCGTTGTAATACTTGTATATTATAAAAGCCTGTATCTACAAAATAATAAACTCTACAAATGAAATAATTTCGAGAAATTAATCAAACCATCCATATTTTCAAGTTGAACTGGTGTCTGTTCCAATACACTTATTTCTTCTATATCGAGATTTCTAGATAAGTTTGAACTAATTGATATAATAAATAAATAGTATTTTATTTACCGAGCGATATCATTTAATGCAGCAGATGAAAAGATTGGATTTTGTAAAAGATTATTTAATGCGTGTTGACCACAAAGTAAACCTTGTTGATGTTCATGATAAATACCAGTTCGATCCTTAATTTTATTCATCTACAAATGAGAAAAAGTGTTATTATAAAACAAAATTCAAATAAACAAAAATTTTATTAAAGAAATGAAATTATTATTTTTTTATTGATTATTCAGTGCACGAGGAATTGATGATGATCGATTAATGCTGTAAGAAGAAGAAGAATATAGAAAATGGTAAGAATAAAAAAATAAGAAACCTTTTTGTTTGTTGCATTGGTCGCTTTTGATTTGGTGTTGCACTACGAACACTAGCACTGTTCGAATACATTTGTTGTGTTTGACCTGTTGAATTTTGTTGATCCTTAGCTTTAGAATCTCTAGAAAAAAAAAACAATATAAAAATTCTAAAAGAATTCCGTTAATAACTAACTTTGCTGTTGAACTCGGATTATGTGGAAATGCTTTTTCCGTACTAAATGGAATTATATTAGATAATGATATATCATCATTTGGACGAGAGATTAATAGAGATGGTACAATTGTATAATACCAATGTAATATATAAGGTGGTATACCAAAATCAGTATACTTATAATGCCAATAAGGTAAACCACAATGAAGAAGAAGTAAACGATAATAATCTGTAAATGTTGAAGCAAGTCGATGGAAATGTAATGAACGATCCAAAAACCAAATACTTGTTTCTCTATGCTAAAATAAACTGTAAGATTATAATTTTATCATATAGACATACTGGATTATAAACAAGACAAACACATTCATGACCATCACATGGATCAAGTTCAAATATATGCCATGATTGAGTATTAAATCGTGGTGTATCTAAAATTTAGATTATTATTTAGAATTATAGAAAAATCTATACCTTTCTCAAAAAAATCATTCAGCTCAGCAATAGCCATCTGTTTTGGTCCTGATGTTGTTATTCTCGTTAAATTATTCAAGGAATTTATATACATTTTACCAATAAATGCCGATGATAATTCTTGAAATAAAAAATATCACGAAAAATCAGATATTTATGTGTTCTATATATTTACTAGTATTTGTATTTTTAAATGACCATCGTATTTCAAGTCCATCGGATACGATATAAAATCTTTTCAAATCATCTGGTAATTCACATGAATTTTTCTATGAATAGAATATGATATAATCTTCTATATACTATCAAATAATCTTACCTCTTCCCATTCTACGAAACCATCTGATAAACACGGTCTTTTATCTTTTACATGAACTTGATCAATATCAGCTCGTTTTTCTAAATAATTAACAACAGCTGTTGTTGCAGAATCCATACATAATTTTGAAGAGAAAAATTATTTTTATCTAAAAAAAACAATGTATCCTACGTAAACAAAAAAATTATGACTAAGGGAAAATCAGAAAAAAACAAAAACCAAAAGATCATTTAAGTTGTGCTGAATCTTTTTGTTTACTTTGAAATTGACTCATTTGATCAAGAACTTCAGCTTCACGTCGAATTTGTTCTCGATCTTTTAATTGTTGAATTAATTCATCCTATTTTAAATCAAAATTTCAATTTTTTTCGATAATTTACAAATATAAATTAATTTAGTTACACGTTCAGGATTTGGTGGTGGATAATATCGTTTTCGAGCAGCAATAACTCGATCTTTGAATAATTCCGGACGACTAAATAAAAACATTGCAGCCAATGGAAAACTTATATAGCATGCCATGCCTGAATAATAAAATAAGATAAGATTTTTTACTGTAAATATCTTTTTTTTTATTAAATACTTACGAACAATTTCTAATTTCCAAGAACCCATATCTAAAATATCAATCAATTAAATATAATCATTTATTTTGTATATTTATTTTTATTTTTATTCAGAACGGAAGAAAAAGAACATAAAAGAAATACGTAACGATAACAACAATGAGAAAAAGAATGAAACTGACATATAACCATGATGAATACCGAAGAAGAAGAAAAAAAACCAACGAAAAACAAAAAAAAATAAAATAAAATGACTTCGATGAAATGTTGCTTGTGGATTCTATTATATATGATTTTTTTAATTGACTTACATATATATATCGATAATAAATAATGAATACAGAAAAAAAAACAAGACAGACGATTGAATAAGTATGTATTTATATAGATAAATAAATTACGTAGAATTCTCAACAATTACCCAAGAAGATAAATAAATTAATTCATTAAAGACATTCGGAGTCTTGCCATTCTCGGTCTATCATCGATATATGTATATCTTTTATTTAGTTGTTAAATCTTTCTTTTTATCGAAATCACTACCAAAATCAAGATGTTCATTATGTGTTACACTTGTAGGTATAGATCCTCCTGCAGCACCTCGACTAAATTCATCATCATTATTTCCATTAAAATTCATAGCGGATTTTGACGGTGCTATTTTTGATTTAACAGCATTAACACCTGAACCAAGTGTATTTTCAAATGTTCGGAAAAAACTGGAATCTAAATATTGAAATGTGTTTTAAATAAAATAATAATAAATCTAATTATTTACTTTTAAGAGTACCAAGGCGTGATTTAAGTGATGTATTAACCGTTTGTATAGCTGGTGCAATTTTATCCGATGCTGCTTGTAATGTTCCAGCTGTTTTTTGATATGCTGATGTTGCTTTAAAATCATGAACAGTTTCATTCCAATCTTGTTTGAGATCATCAACAAAACCAACACCTAATAATGTTTTTAATTCACTTTCACGTTTTAATTTAGCTCCAAGTACTTGACGTAATGTTATAATTTCATCTTGAACTTTCAACATTTCTAAAGTAAAAATTTTTTATTTTTTAAATAGAAATAATTTTAAAAACTAACCTTGTCGATAATCATCTTCTTGTTTTAATCGATCATCATCACGGAATTGAAAAAATTGTTGATTATTATCATCTGCAATTGGTTCATTTAATTCTTCGTCATTATCGAATGGTTTTGGCATTTTAGTCGATTGTTGATTATCCATGTTTAAATCAAAGAGAGAAAAAAGAATTATCTAAAAAAAAGAATTTCGTGTCATTTTTACATTAAATCAATTATTTATTTAAATAATAGAAAATAAAACGATTCGTAGATATCTGAAAAGCAAATTTAAAAAAACATTTTAATTTTCTCCATTGAAATATTGATAGTAAAAGGCATCGAGTTTCTCTTGGGCCATATTACCAGATCGAATATGATGCCATCTACCATCTAATTGTGTTTTTATACGTTCATACGTTTGTTTAATTTCATTATTAGATGCAGAATTCCGTAAGCCAAGCATTGAGGGTAAATTTAATTGTTTCAATATTGTCTGTACAAGTGCTTCATCTTCAGCAGTATATTTACCACCATTTGTTGTATAGTAATTCGTTGATTGTTGTGTTTCAGATGTTGTACATTTGCCAGCTATATGTGTTAAACCAAAACCCATATCCCATAATTTTTCAATTAATAAATTTTCATCAATTGTATTCGATGACATCATTTTATTAAGATCTAATCTTGCATAAACTATTCCATGTGTCGCAAGTTCACGTGTACATGTTAATTCATTACGATCAATACGATATTCAACAGGTGATTCAAGATAAATAATAAAATTTTCCCATAATTTATTATCTCCTGCATAATGATAAACATCACCAAAATCACGACGAATAAATTTTATATAGGGAAATAATTGTTCGGATATATAAAATTGATCATCATTCATATTATCTGTAATTGGTCGTAGAATATTTTCATTTTGAAAATTTTCATCAAGTAATGGAAATTGTTGACGTAATTCGTATTCAATTGTTTTCATTTGATCACTATGGGTACGAGGATCATATTGAAATTGTATACGAAAATCAAATATATCATCGTATGTTTTCGTTTGTTTATATTTTGATGAATCACGATTACGAATAAAATCTATATTAGAAAATAAAACTCGTATTATTTCTTAAAAGAACAAGTAACGCTCATCCGAGGACTCGCTTAGCTCTTTCTCGTAGAAATACATTTTCTTCATATTTACTGGAAAAACGAATGAAAACCGTGAAAAATTGATTTTCGATGTTTTTTTGACCCCGCGGACAGACAAGCAAGCAGACAATTAGAAAAGAAGATGTAATATTTTATTTACCGATATTGGATAATCTTTGAAAATCTTTTGAAAATTCTACAATTGCATAATTTGCTGCTGGATCGACTATACAAACATGCGTTTGTTTATCATCTGATTGTAAATAAATACGAAAAACATGTTTACATTGTTGTATATGAAAATCACAATTTTCAAGTTCTTTAACAAATTCATTTGGTCGACTTATTGGTTTAATATTACAAAATGATGAACGTAATGTATCATCCGATGGATAGCTACTATTTCTTGCATTATAATAATAATGAGTATTTGTAAGTGGAATTTTCTTTTCAGTTATACTATGAATTTCTTCAATTGAATAATTATTATCAAAACGAAAACGTTTAGAATAATAATATAAAACACCGGTTCGAATACTAATAACATATGATGATAAATCATGTGATATTGAATTTAAAACTTGTCTTATACAATTAGCAAATTCTCCATACATTTCATCAAGTGATGCTTGATAATCGTATAGGACTTGTGGTAAATATAATTTTTTTGAATGATGATTACGTGAACGTGTACCACGATATTCAAGAAAACCAATACCATTCGAATTTATTGATGAACCATTTTCAAAAAGAATAAAACATGTAGTGGGAGTACAAGAATCAGATAATTGACGTTGGCTCATTAAATGACTAGTATGAGTAGAATTTGAATTACGAGAATTTCTTGATGATTGTCGATCATAATTATTTTCGGATGTTGGAGTTTCACCTATAAATAAAAAAAGAATTTCTTATTCTATCGGTTCTTTTTTCTCTCACTAAATAAATGCATAAAAAGAAAACAATAGACTAATTTTGAACTCAGAAGGTTGTGTACGCGTATTTGAGTAGTTATGAATGAAAGAAAAGAAAAAATACATCACCTATTCTTATAAGAAAATATTAATAATAGAGCGTTATGAACTACATAAAGAAGTCTATTAAAGTTTTCAAAGTCATTCTGCTTCAATGAAATATAAAAATCATCTGTATGTTTAGTCATCGACTTTGATAATGAGAAAAATATTATTGGATAAATAACAAAACATAACAATTAGCTGAATCAAATATCAGCACAGACACTTGATCGTCAAATAGTGGAAAAGATGAAATTACGGTCTTTTTGTATTGCAATTAATTCACTAGCAACTCTCCATAGTATTGCAAAAGCTTCTTTTCTAACAGTTCTGGATAAACTCTGTACTTTTCTAGTTCTACTAAGTATAAGACATCTCTAGCGATTAGTATAATACTAAAATTTACATGGTGAATAACTGCATGAAAGTAACTAATCTAGATTAACGACACATGAATCATCGTCGATTATGAAAGGAAAAGGAGAATTTTTTAAATGTGCCTATTCAGAAAATTTCTTTACTTACGATTGTAACGGTATGTTGATCTGCTTGCCATAATGTTAATAATCGATGTAATGTTTTTCTATTGATCTATTTAATTTACATAATTACATCTTAAATAAAAAAATCACATTTTTTTAATCATTATATTGTCTATCGAATTACACGTTGTTTTTTTAAATTAAAACAAAAAATATTAATTATAAATTACAGTACAAAAATTTATCAATTAGAAAAAAAATATTTGACTAAGTATCATTGCAAAAAATCATAGAGCATCATAATGAAATCTTTGGTTTTCCAGTTTTCGTTCACGATTATCTTCGATCTAAAAAATGTAAGAAAATATTTTTTTTCTTTTCTTCTAATAACAGTACAAAACAAACTTTATCTCGATATTGTAATATAGCAAGTACAAATACAATAACAACAAGTGTTGCACTTAATGCAATACCTGTATGAATAATCATTCGACTAGGAGTAACGAAAAGTTCGCTATGCCATCTAAACAAAAGTTTTCGTTTTTTTATTTTTCAATAAATTATTCTTTACTTTTCGGGATTCATTAATGGTGATGGTAAAACAACAATTTGAGAATTGGGAATCATTTGCGTATATGTATGAAATAAATGATTCTAGAAAAGAATGGTTAGATCTTATTAAATAAATCTAATACAAACCGATTGATTCGTTGGTGGAATTGCAATTGTAAGTTTTTCAACAAAATTTGGTGTTGCACCAAGACCAATAATTACATAAGGTAATTCAAGTGTTAGTTGACCTGACTGAGACATTTGAACAGCTAAAACAAAAATTGTATATACGTATAAAGACGATAGTACTCAAACAGAAATGATAGTAATATTTTTTTGTTATTGTTGAACTATTTCCTCTCTGCTAACAGCCTAGTGTGAAGTCACTACTCAACACATTAAATATTTATAATAACATTAAAATTATTGCAATGTTCTTTATTGACAACAATACAGAATTTCGTTATATTTTAACTTCTATATAGAATTTTTTATTTACAAGTTATTTTACCTGCTAATTGAATCCAACTATCTTTAATTCCATCTGCAGTAGTAATTGTTTCCATTTTAATTGATTGTCCTGGTTGATTATTACCATAAGGCTACAGAGATAACAAAAAAAAAAGAATAAATTTTATAAAAAATCATTTTATCTATTTACCAGTCGCTGTCTATGAGAACAAGTATCACATGAAAAAGTACTGAGAACTAAAAAAAATAAATTTCGTTTAAATTTTTATCTTAATATTAATTTACCCATGACTTTAATAAAATGTACATCTTGTATAAGTGAATTTTGAAAACCAATTAATTGAAAATCTTCATTTGGAGTTTTTTGTAAAACAAGTAAATCTGGATAACCCTTGAAATAGAATTCAAACTTGAATAAGAAAAGTTTTGTTATTCTGATACGAAACTTACATTTTCCAAAACATCGAAAAATGCAGCAAGTGTTGCATTTGATGCTGATAAAACAAATACTTCATCAGTTTGTACAGCAAATGTTCGATTATAATTACAAAATAAATTATTATCACTATTGCATGGACGATTTTTAAGAATTATTGAAACAGTACTATTTATTGAACTAAAACTTTAAAAAATTTATATTTTATTTTCTTTTCGCTATTAAATAAGTTCATCATGTTTAACTCTCAAATACCATTTCTAGTTGAATTCAGTTTTTTCTATAGACAATATTCAAGATTCAATTATGTTTTTCCTCAGGAAATAATATATAAGTCGAAAAGCAAATATTGCGAGTATTGCCGCAAAACAAAATATGATTAGAGGAAATGAGATCATATTGTCTAATCAATTGAATTTCTTTTGTTTGAGAATGAACTCGAAAATATTGCATTAGTCAATAATTTAGTACTTACTTTTGTTTCATCACAGCTACCATATCAGGATAACCATCAAGATTATAATCAGCTATTTTAATACTAATAGGTATTTGATTGAATGGTGCTGGAATTTCATGTTTTAAAGGAAATCTTACATCACCACCAAAATTAGTTTGTAATGAATACCACTAAATAGAATCATTTTTATCATAGTAAAAGTTTTTTTATGAAATTTTTTAATTACTTTATGATTATCTCGTACAAATATCTGACTATCTGAACAATCATTATTCATACAAACTGGTAAAATATGTTCTAATACACCATCAGCATCTAATTTTGCAAGAAACAAAATTCATATTAAAATAAAAATAAGTTTTATTATGTACCTATATCAGCAAATATTGATAGATGATAGATAGCAACACCTGGTGGTGGACCATAATCAGATATTAATTTCATATTTGTTAATGGTAATTGATATACACGAAATCTTGGTTTATTATTATGATTAACGGTTAAAAATAAATCTGATCAAAAGAAAAAAATGATAATTATTGAATTTCATTTTCGTTTTTTTTTATAGAAATTTAACCTGCAATAAGATCATTATTAAGATCAACTGTAGCTTGTGTTGAATCTGGCAGGAGATCATCAACATTATTTAATTTTTCAAAGTTATATACAGTACGATTTTTACTTAAAAGATAAAGAATATTTCTTTATGAATTAAATTAAAAGATATTCGTTAACTTACAACATTAAACAAGCTGGTCTATAATTAACATAATCATTACTAATCATACCTAATAAATCAACATATGAATCACCATTTGCACTAAAGAAACAAGTCAATTATTTGATTAAATTAGCAAAAAAAGAATAAAAGGTAATTTTACTCAAGAGTAGTTGGAATTGTTTGAAAGAAATAATTAATCGGTTGAAGTTCACCTTAAATATAAAAAATTATATATACAAATATGAAGGTTATTAACATATGAAATAATACTTGTTTCACATCAAGAATAAGATTACTATTAATAATTTATTTTGATAGTAATCAAATTCTTACGTAAAAAAATTATCTATTAGATAATGAAATAATATTTACTTAGTTTAACTCGATCACCCCATAGAAAACCACCATTATACACGTCTTGATCTGGTGTTGCTTTATAAAGTATAAATAAATCAAGTTTACTATCTCCATCATAATCAGCTGCTAATGCATCATAAATAATTCCTCTACAAAAAAATAAAATAAGTGAATAAATAAGTATTCAATATGTTTACATACGTTATATTAACATTACATTGTTCTTTCTGTGTTGGTGATCGATCATTATTAAGCATAACTCGAATATTATCACCTTTCATATTTCGACAAAAAATATCAACAATTTTATCAGCATTAAAATCACCAAACGCTAATGGTATACAGTCATCGATAGCAAAATTCTTCTTATTACCAAAATTTCTATTAAATACACGTTTTTCATCCTCATCATCTTCAGTTAAAGATTTTTTTCTATGAGCATTTATTTCATGAATAATAAATATAATAATTAACAGTTTAAAAATAATTTTTGAGCACGAGATAAAACGAACTTTTGTTATCATAATTCATATCATCTAGAAATAAATTTCATTGTTGAATATTCATATTAAAATCATTACAAATAAAATCAAATAGATTTTAAATTAAAAAAAACCGAAAAAAAATTAAGGCGCATATGATAGTATTAAACTTAATAACGAAGTTGGGAAAAATAAAGTAAATATTGCCAGATGAAAATAGTCAAAAGAAAAAGTCATCATCATCATTCGTCAAATGAGATTTCTACATGGCTGGTTAGTTTCCTTTATCCAATCAAAAAACATTTGTTACAAAAATTATTGATTAGATTAATCAATACAATTAGTTCGATCGAAAATATATCTAGATAATGGAACTATATCATCAGATTTAATGTTTCTTATTATTCAAGGTTTGCTTTAGATATACGAGTGACATCTATCTAACTTTAGCATGTATGAAAATTTTTCAACAAGTGAACCGGAGATCGTTTTTTGTTATACACAAAAATTCATCATCGAAATAAATTAAAATTCTGATCATAACTTAAGATATAGGTTACAATTCCTTTTAGAAGAAAAATTTACTGTCTTTTCTTGATGAAGATAAAGTGGACATAAGCTTTAAGTTCTATATTGTATGACGCTGTTAACTGTAATACATGAAATACTTGATGATTTATTTTTATTAATCAATCAGTGGTGGATCTAGGATTTTGGAAGGGGAGGGGGCGATTTTGGCTAGACGCTATTTTTTGAGTCCAATCGAAGTAGTGTGAACCTATTTTTTCGTTCATTTTTGCTGTGAAAAATCAAAAAAAAATTCGGACGGGGGAGGGCGATCACCCCCCTAAATCCGCCACTGTAATCAATAGTGATAAATCAATAAAGATATTTGAAAACTCTACGAGAAGATATTCATGATTGATAATAATAATTAGAATATGGTTTTATTCTATTTGTGTTTGGTAAAATATCATATAATCTTGTTTGAAACTGAATTAAAGTTATTTTTAGGCATTCTTTACTATACGAAATCATGTTGATTTCTATGTTAAAAGGTAAAATACTTTCTAACAATATTATTACTTGAGATGCTTCATTCATACTCAGAAACTGATTTTAAGATATTTCAGTATAAGAATAATAACGATTATTAAAAGAATATCATTAAAATCGTTATAAAAAATAATAATAAATCAAATGTTTTTGCTTTCTGTTCTACACCCCTTTCGATGGTTTTATGGCACGATATTTTGTTAATAACTTTCATACATGTTTTATAATAAAAAAGAAAAAGAAAAGTACCATATTCTCTCTCTTTTTCTCCTATATCGGCTTTTCAAATATATATATATATCACGAACGGAATGAAATTGAAATCATATAAACAATACTCAGAATATAATTAAGTCTTAAAGATTTACATATCGATTTTCTAGCCCTATTTATAGATGATTCTAAATTGTAAGAACACGTTAGTTAATATTGACACACTGCCGATAAATTGAATATTTTTTTTCCGAAATTCTTTTGCATTAATATTCAAGGGTTTAAAGCTATTAAAGAAAATACACGTTCGATTTTTTTTATAACCATATCACTCTTTTTATATTATCGATTACAAGTATTTTTATCTCATACTTTCGTTTTTTTCTCGTTAATTTATCGACAGTGGCCTTTTCTTTTCGTTATTCTTCTTTTTTTCTGTTACAAGAAAAAAATTCAGTCGTGCATCTATCCTATCTCAAACACCATAAAGAATTACTAGGCATTTAAAATAAGGAGTGAAAAAGAGAACACTAAAGTCAATAAATAGAAGAATAAAAAACCGACTGAGAGAAAAAAAACGAGAGAGAGAGAGAGACAGAGAGGTAACGCACGTATGTATTCATACACGCACTTCGCATATTAATATCACTAGGTTAGCAAACGCATTTCTTTTCGTGTACTCCAACTGATAAGACAAATCCGCAATATATTTAATAGATATAAAAGAAAAGAAACTGAGATCCACACCTGACAATCTAATGGCAAGTCATCAGCAACATCAATCATCGGCATTCCGATCATCAGATATAGATCTTGGTAAGTATAATTCATTTATATAATTAAAAAAGATTGAAATGGCCTTGAAATATTTTTGTTTTCTTATTTATTTAAAACAGGCTTCTAGAGAATAAATGAAAAAAAGAAAGAGAAGGCTTTTTTACTCCTTATCAGAAAGAAAACTATAGTTTTTTTTTCATCTAATTATATTTAATAATTTAAATATCTTTGAAATATTATTAAACTGTTTTTCGAACAAATAATAACAGTTGACATTAATAAAATGAAAACAAATCTAAAGAGTTTCAGTCGAGTTTTCAGATACCAACTTGCAATGAAGTTGTTCATCAAAAAAGTAAAGTGAATTAACTAATGTTCAATATTATCTTAGGAAAAATGTACATTTTAGACTATTCTTAAGATTATAAGATAATAATAATACAGACGTAGTATCTATGAAAATGGTGAACTAATTTTTCGATAAGGTAAAAGTGACATTCTTCGCTTAAAATTTATAGTCAATCCTAGATATTATTGACTAGTTTGGATACATATACATAGTTTTATTTTCGAGAGTGGATTAATGGCTACGACATAGAAGATTGCCAAGATTTCTATACCATATGATTCAATAATTATAGTACCTTTAAGAACATATAGTCCCAAGACTTTCGATTAGAGCTCTTTATAAAAAAATGCATAAAAAGTTAAATCATGAGCCCTAGGAAACCGTTTGCCATGTAATGATTCATCTTTAGACAAAATCTTTTGTTAGCAGTACTTTGTTGTATCATCTATAAAAAAACCGGATCTTAGCCTTCTTAATATATACTTATAATGTTCAGTGTTGTATTTTCAAACTCTAAAAAGATTGAATCGGCCTTCAAAGAAACATGGTTCTGTCAACCTTCACGGTAAATAAAACGATGTTAGTGTTATTTTTCTTGAATACGTTAATATTTGTCAATATTAAAGTTAAATATACAATCAATACTTTAATATATACTCTTTTTCGATAGAATATTTCGCCTGCAATGAAAACAGTATCTATAAGATTTTACATGTAATTTAAATACATCCGATATAATTCAGCAATCATCAAAACTCTAGATAATAAATAAGTTAATTGATTCATAAATCATCGTCAAAGAAAGATATTCGTATTAATTCATATAACAAGGTTTAATAATAAAACAATATCTAGTTTATTTCGGTACATATAATTAGTCTGTAATAAACTCATTTTTTCTAAATTCATGCTTTTTAATTATGGTTTCTTCATACCATATAAAATTTTATTCATTCATTTTCTTTTATTAGGTTTCGAGAAATCATCACTTCTATTCTTTATTGGCGGTGGTTGCTTATTAATCGTCTTAGTAGCTGGTATTATTCTCTGCCGTCTAGATATATCAGCTGGAGACAGTATGTAGTAATAGCTTTTAATAAATGTTTTACATATTTTTGCATTTTCTTTTCAGGACGACGACAAAACCCGATTCGTTCTCTTGATACTTAAAATGGAAATTCTTAGAGCGAAACATCAATTAATAAACATTTCTTTCTTATATTAGATTTTTGCTTTTTTTTCTAGTTACGAATTCAATAAATTAGATAATATATATTGTTCATGCAGAGAGATAACAATTGAAAACTATCATCGATTTCTTTGTCAATTTTCAGTAGAGGAGGTTCTTTTCTTGTTCGGTCAAATCATAATCGATTTTCATACTATCGCATTACATCTTAGACCGCCAGATGGTACTTAAGACATCAAGAGCTTGTTCATCATAGAATTATTTTCTCGTCTGATAGATAAAATAAACAAAATATATTTTTTTAACTTTTTTCATAATTTTATTTGTGTTCTTCTCAATGTTGCTTTGATTAATGCTGTTACACAAAAGCAAAAAACAAAAAGAATAATGAAAAACAATTACATAAAAACAGAAATCTACATGGATCATAACCTTGAACAAATATTATCTATACTTCCTTGTATTGTGATGAAATGCATATTTCAATTTCTTCGTTCGTTTCTTTGATGTTAATCTTAATCGAATCAAATTTATCTTAAGAAATATTTGTATCAATGGTGTCCATTGCATATAACTATTTGCTGGAATTTTTTTCATCAGTTTCTTTTTGCTAAGTTGTGAGTATGCAACACTCAATCTTACGTGCATGTCATTTGATGTTTTACGACACACGCAGACGGTGTTGCATAATCCTCAGCTTGGGTGTTTTTTGTAATAACTGTACATAAGATCGTGATCAACCAAACAAACAATTTGATGATCAATACGACCATAATCCGGATATAAACTCATTTTACGTTGGCCATCGAGACTTGTTGAAGCCTATGATGATAAGAAAAATTTATTAATTGATCAATGAAAAAGGAAATTTTGTTTTTCTTACCGTTCCACCAAAAATTGTTGTTGTAAATTTTCCTGGATTAAACATTTTTAAGATTTTACGTGTTAATTCTTGATATTGATTGTATGAAACATTCGTTTCAAAGCTAACATATGAAAAATCTGGTTCTGGTGTTATATGAATGGTAAAATAATGACCGTCGGGTAATAAACCATTCATTGAATATCCACAGGGATCAAATAAATAATCGAAAATTTTTGCATTTGGAAATAATTTATCGATACCGGCTTTCTAAAGAATAAACAAGTTACACAATCTCAATTTTTAAATTAACAAAATATACTTTTGTTGCTTCAGCAGCTGAATTTGTATATTCTTGGTAGAAGATTTTCATTTTTTCTTCATCTAAATCAGTCATGATTATTTCCAATGTTTGATCCGTTTTTGTACTGACACATGTTTTATCAAGTGTATACAAATACCTAGAAAAACAAAAAAATATTCCCATATACCAAAGAAAATATTCAATGCATCGAGCATTTTCTCACGATTAAATCTTATTCCTCTTTCATGTTATGTTCTAGAAAAAATATTTGCAAATCGAATTCAAGAATGCAGAAAAATAAGTAATTAAATACATGCAATTCTGTGTTCTAGAATGTTCTTAACACGCACGTTCATATGAGAATAGAATGCAAATATCGCAATATCTTTTTTTTTGAAAAAGAAATCTTTGTTTACGAATGTCTTATTTATTAATAATAAGCTTGAGATATTCGATATATTAGAAAATAACTATTTTTTAATCCTGCGACATTTATTTAACCTTTGTTCTGATTAATTTAACTTACCAACAATCAACATTAGTACGACCGAGAACGTAAGCCGAACCACCTGAAAGGAACGAGAAAAACAATATTAAGAAATTACACAATGATGTCATTATTTTAATGATATTTACCTTCGAAGATTGAATCGAGATAAGAAACCTAAACAATGACGACATTTTTTTTACTCTACAGAAAATTTCATTTAATTAAGTATTTACTTCATGATCAAAACTCGTATGTGGTGCTTTTTGTAATTCTGGTCGAAGAAATTTGCGACGACTATAGAAAATTTGCTACAAAAAAAGAAGAAAACATAGAAATTATATGGAAAAAAACGTGTTTTTTTCTTACATCAACAACATCAAATCCACAATATTCGCGTGCAAGTTCTAACATTGGTTGTACGGCATGAAGTAATGTTGTTTCACCGCATGTTTTTAAAATAAAATGCGTTTGAAATACAAACATACTTGATTCACTTAATACATATGTATCAGTTGTTGCCGATTGTGCGTATGTAAGCACTTTACAATTGACCAAATTTAATACTTCTTCAATAAGATCCCTTTAAAATAAAAAATAGGATTTCAATTATAATTTTATTGTTATTAGTTAATTACCGTGGAATATTTCGTAAATCATTACATTTTGTAGATTTATTCGAACCGTTGTTACCGTTAATAAACCAAATTTCTAAGAGCTTTTCGGCTCCTTCAAAGAAATGGCCAGTCATTACAAACGTTCGTATATATTTTTCGAGGTGTTTTGCTGATAAGCGACAGAAGTTTGAAGTTGAAAAAAGCAAGTTGCGCTCTATAAGCGGACGAATATATTATTTTCCTTTATATATTCTATAACATATATATATGTTTTTTTTCTCTTGCTTTTCCCCCACGCCTTTCTCTATTTTCTTTCTTTGTCATTCTTCTTATTTTATCGTTATCAGGAAAAAATAATGCCCTTATTGCAAAATTACACTCGTAAATAATGGACGACAGAAAAATAGATTTTTGCGTTCTACCGCTTTTGTATTCTCTTCTATTTTTCTTCTACAACTCAAAAACAACTAGCAACAGGGTAAAGTTCGTTATATTTAGGAATGCAGAAAGGGCAAAACACGTCATCTGTCGATTACAGTACTCTTCCATTTCATCAGTCGATTCACATTTTTAACCAAATTCTTTCTCATATTCTTATTTTAACATAATATATGATCGTAAAGTGCAAAGAAATATTAAAAGTTTTTTCTACTTTTTAACATATATATTCCGTCGTCATAGCTACTACGATTTTGTTTTACATTTGACGACCGTCCAAACAAAAAATAAAATAAAACAAATCAGATCTATTAATATACCTTGCGAAATTATTTCGATTTACTGACGTATGTATCAATGACGACATAAATTGCTTTGAATTAGTCATATAAATACACATGAATGCAGCTTTTCTTTCATTAAAGCATATTAATATTATTAATCAAAAAAAAAGAACACCAGAATATTGAATAAGTGTGTATTTCATACGCACTTATCAAATAATGTGCACACTGAGAACGTTCGTGCAAAAAAGAAAAAAAAATGAATGACTAGCTAATTGCACACAAATAAAAAAGTGTATATATATATATTTACACAAAAAAAAAGAATTACAAGAGAATATCCAACAATAACATTCTCAGGATTGAACAAAAATATTAAATTGAGAAATATCATCACATACGTGAGCCACGTTCCTGTAGAATCTGAAAAAACAACAAATTCGTATTTTTTGTTTTTCTTTCATTAATTCTTCTTACTTTAACTCGTTCAGATACAGAAGTATTATTATCTTCTCTTGTACCTCGATCATATTGTTTCGACACAATACATAAAAATTCACCTTCAGGATACATATAACTTGACCCAACAGGTGAATGGCCGATTAGCTGAATATATATATATATTAAAAATGCAAATCAACAAATTTGGTTTTTAATAACAATTACCTGTTCAAATTTCCAACCATCACTTAATGAAGACATCAATTGTGTTACTTCTTTCTCTTGACATTGTATTACTCGATAAACACGACTTGTTCGACACTATAAAATAATGAAAGACTTTTATTGTTGTCTGACTGTATGAAATATCTTTCGTCATAATTCAAGACTAGGTTTTCAGATACATTTGTTTATGATTTCGAAAGAATATTATCTTATCAAAATTCATGATAAAATTGTTTCGAACTAATTTATCTCATTGTTTGCACTTTTATGTGTAGTCTAAACGTTTCACATTTTGTGCATAACTTGACGAAATTATTATTTCATTCTATACGTTTAGTATATCTCATTTCGAATATTATTTCTCTTTTGAATTTTAACAAAAGAAAAAGTAATAAAACTCTACCCTGTGGACATTATGCCGTACTATTAATCTATCGGTTAGAAACGTAACAAAATTATAAATATTCATAAAATCAAAATAAATAAGCTATCTGATCAAAAAATATCTCTTGATTACATAATTACAAAGAAACTTACATCATTAAATTTTCGTCGATCTCTTTCTCGAATTTTTTCTTTAACTAGTTCAATTAATGGTCGTATATTATAAAATTCTGCTTCTTCAAGTACGCCTTCTTCGACAAGATTTGTTTCGAGAATTAATTTACCATGACGTAGATAACTATATATAGAAAAGGAAAAAATATAAATAAATATATCGTAATAATTAATATCGATTCTTTTACTTTAATACTACATTAAAATAATTTGGATCACGATCGATTAAATATGCTCCTTTATCATCCTATATTAACAAAAAAGATAATTTAAATAATTTATATAATTAAAAACCAATGAAAACATACAACATCCGTTTTAAGATCAGGTTCATATTGACAAAGACGACCAAGAAATGATTCTTCTTTTGATAATGTTGAGCGAGTTGTCATAAAATGTTTACCACCAACATTTAATAAAACCCAATCACGTTTAGCATCTGATGATGATGATGTTGTTGAAGTTGACATTGGACGGGTATCAATATGAACTATTGAATTAGTATCACCATTTTTTTGACTTGAAAAATTATCATTTGTCAACATTTTATCAGAGAAAAACAGCTCAGAATGAAAAAAAAAGAAGTTATCTAGACGTTCGAACAATAGAGAAAGCACAATACAGTATGCTTATATTGAACATTAATTGATTACTATATATATCCAATACGATTTGACTAGATGGCAGCAGTCATTAATATAGATTAAATCAGCAAAAGAATCTAGAAGAAATATTTTTTATAGTATATGGTTTTAGATCTATATATTGATTCATTCAATGTGTGTATGTCTGACTAAAATGAGAAATAATATGAAATATTAATTAATATTTGACCTTCTACTACATGAAAGAAACAGAAACGACACTTATTTTTTTTCTCTCTCTCTCTATATTTCTCATGTCGTAATATTAACTATTGTCAGAGTTAGTACAATCATTGGTTGCTTTTGCCGATCGAAAGTAATTTTCTTTTTTTTTTGCCTCACCCCCTCTGTCTCTCTGTCTCTCTCTCTCTCTCGCAGTATATATATATATATATTTATGCTTTCATAATTTGGTAAAATTGTCACCTTCGCGCTTGAGTGTTATTATACATAATATTATTGATAATGGACAAGTTTTTTTCTCCCGGTGGTATCTTCCATGAACATCCTGCCAATGATTATCGAATAACATATACAGGACCATATCCACCACCCGGTTTTACTCTTTATCATGATTCAATATCATTCGTCAGTGCCGACCAAATTCCATTTGCAATTTCACCATTTGGCTGTCAACCACACTGATATCTATATATTTTTTTGTAAATTTATACAATAAAATATAATAAAATAAACGTTAATAAAAAACTACATATTCTGCTTGTATAGATAAACAATTGTATATTTATTTTAAGACATGAAAAAAGAAAAGAAATAAGAAACAACATAATAGTTTAGTCAATATGGGATGGTACTGAAGCAACATTATCCGCATTGATAGAGGATTGTTGAAGAATTTTTAGAAGCATATTTCTGATTTCAATATTATATTGTGCAACGTCCGTTGCTGCAAAACCAAAATCCAAAAATCCATGAGGCCATTCATCGACTACAGTTAGATGATGAGGAACTTTGAGATCGCGTAATCGTCGAGCAAATTCAATATTATCATCAATAAATGGATCTCAAAAAAAGGGGATTTTTATTGAAAAGAATTTTTGTTATTTAATTATTACTTACCACGTGCACATGGCTATAAAGTAGAAAATAGAAAAAGAAAAGAAGACAATATTATATATATATTTATTATTTGAAAATAATATCTAGTTTTTCATTTCATTTCAATTAAAAACAACTACAAAAAACGAAAAACAATATTAGTCGTGAAAGATTCATTCTTAATTAATATCTGTAAATGTTGAGATTGGAAAAATTGGATTTGTAAGTGGTGTTAATTTTTTTTTACTAAGTTTTTTGTTTTTATTTGATGGTAAAAATAAAGGTCCATCAATATGATATTTTCGTGCAAAATCATCCATTATACGATCAGTCGTTTTTTTACAATTACTATTTGCATTATAAAAACTTAGAAAACCATGTGTTAAATTATGTACAATAACCATATGATGTTCAACATCTAATGAACGTAAATGACGTGCAAATGTTATTGAATCATCCAATAAAGGATCTTGATGACATGCCTGAAATGTTTAAGTATTCTCAAAAATAAATATTTCTGTAACACAAATAACAACAGTCGAAAATTGCAAGATATATATATATATAGCTAAAGAATACGAATGATATAGAAAATAAATGAACTTACAACAAGATAAGTTGTTGGAAATTGTCGAAGAATTTCATCGGATGCACGTAGTGGAGACATATGTGGAGTATTGGGTAAGGTTGATTCTCGTAATTTACGAAGAAGAAGAGCTTGACGTGAACCCATTATATCACCTAATTGTGTATAGTATGTATCTCCTCGAATATATTCTGGACGTATTTCATTATTAGAAAGACTATCTGACTTCGAAGGAATTGGACCGGATGATGAGATACTATGTTCAATTTTACGTCGTTTTCCAATTAAACTGTCATTCTGATCACTAATACTAGCAGATTCTAGTTCATCATGTGGTGGTTCATCATCAGCTTTAATACCAGCATAAGCAGCAAGACAACGCCAAAGAAAACCAGTATTTAATAATGGATCCATAATTGCCATCAATCGAGATGGTGACATACTAAATTATAATAACATAAATATTGTTAAACTTTCATAATTCATAAAATATCTTTCATATGTTCTATAAATAATCAATATCTATCAAAATGATCTGATAATTATTATTCAATCACGCATAACAATCAATCGACAATCTCTAATGTTTACTCCCTGTTATGACTGAAACTAACGTTTATCACAATATATCTTAATTAAGCGAAAAGGTCAATGATTATAAATTTACATTTTACTACATCATCGATTTATTAGAATACAAATATATGATGTGACATATATTTATTATCAAATGGTTGAATTAGTTTTCCTGACAGGACGAAACAAAATAATATCTATTCGATCTATGTCATTTACTTTTTTATCTAGCAAAATATAAGTTAAGGAACTCATTACAGAGAAAATGTTTTTTGTTCTAATTAATTACATATTCAATAGCAATTATCGTATATATTACCTGTAGCCAAGTAGAAATGGTGTATAAAAACAAATAATTGAATCGGGTTTTCTTAAACCAGCTTCAATTGCTTTTATGGTAACAATAGTGACTAGATTACCACCGGCACTATCACCAGCTAATAAAAGTGTTTTACCAGTCCACCCAAGTTTATTGGCATTTTTTAAAATCCATGCATATGCATAAAAACATTCTTCAATAGCACGTGGATATGGGTATTCAGGTGCTAATGAATAATCTATTGATACGATTGGTACTTCAAGGCCTAATGCCCAAGGTTTTAAATAAATCTATAACAGAAAAACAAATAATTTTTGTTTTTTTGAAAACTATTTAATATACTTCGTGAGTTGTAGATGATGTTGCAATAAATCCACCACCATGTATATGTATAAGAAGTTGATCACTCATTGGTAAAATTTTTGTTGATGCTATTTCTAGATCAGTTTTTTTTAGTGGTAATTCACTCATACCTTCACGTATTTCGTTGGATAAAAGTTTTATATTAACAAGTTGTCGTGGTTGTTCACTACCCGAACCCGTTGGATTATCTGAACCAGCTCCAATATTTCCAGCTGCACGTTCATTTGCTTCATCATCACCGGAACTTGCTGTTGGTGGTGGAACAATAATTGAACCAATTTCAATAGGTTCAGGTCCAATTTGAAAATATTTCGATACAGTTACATTTGGTACGATATAACGTGAACCCATTTTAACATAATCATGATCAACTATATTCCAAAATGATTTACAAAATAAATAATCACTATCACGAAATATCGCAGCACACTAGAAAAAGATTTCGCTATAATTAATAAGAAATAATTTAGAAATCAAACTTTTTTTGCTCGTTGTTCTGGAAATAAAATATATTTAGGTGCTGTCGCAAGACTAGCAGCTGCATATGATATTGATCGATTATAAGTTTCATAAAACGTAGCTAAACCAGCCAATAATAAAGTAAGCATCTTTTGCATGGATGGAGCAAACTTAAATTAAAAAAAGATATATTGTAGTGTTTGTAAAATACAAGTTTGTTTTTGCTTTAATTCTTACTTGAAAACCACATGTTCGTCCAAAAAAATATTCAGAATCAAATGCAACCATTTTAAAATAATCAAGTTCAATATCCAATGGTACATGATCCGCATCTACCTAAATATTAAAAACAAAATATATTAATCGCTTCAGAAAAAAATCTAATGTTAGCCTTTTTTTTTGTTTACGTACATATAATACTTTCTTTTCTGAATAATCAACCATTTTAACAGATAAGGCTATTATACGTTGCATTGCTAGAAGTGCTTTTGTCCAAGATTCAAGATCTTGAAATAACCGAGATGAATACATTAGATTAAATAAGAGACCAACACGTTTTGTATCAACTTGTCGAAGTATATCTAATGTTCGTAAACATGCTTGACCATGTGCTACGACTAATGATCGATAACCACTAGCTCGAACCTGTTTTAAAAAGAAAAAGATTAGGAAATAATATTAAAATAGAAGATTGATATATTCATACTTCTGGACTATAATCAAAATGATGAAAATTGTCTGTAAGATATCGAATAAGTGGTACGGATAAATCAATTGAATGTAAAAGTTGAATTAGTAAACGTTCGAATCTTTTACAAACATCTGTTTTTTGTTCAGAAAAATATTTACAATTTGTATCAGCTAATTCTCTTAATTCTGTATAGACTGAATCAAAATTAAAATCCAGTCCAACCGTATCTGGTGTAGGTGTTGTTGGTGCTTCTGATGTTCGTATTGTATTAGAGAATCTATCTAAATTTGATGGAGTCGTTGTGGAATTACGCATTGTTGAAAATGAAATTTTAGGTGGTGATAATGAACGATTTCGTACAGATGATGCTTGTTTAGATTTTTCATTATTTTCAGCGGATAATGTAAATTTACGTTTTGCTGTTACAGTATATGATTGTTTCGATAAAAAAGACATTAGACGACCGGCAGCAACCAAAGGTGCTATAGGGAAACGATCAGTAATAGAACGAGACCTTCCATCTGTTCCATTACTGATTTCAGCTTTTGAAGGAGATTCTTCCTTATTATCCATTCTAAATAAAAACAAGAGAGAATGAAATATAAATAGAATTCAATTATATATTTTAATATGAGTTGCATCAATTAGAACACATCCATTAGATTACAGGTGACAGAGTTCGAAGGTTTACACCACCGAATAAAAAATAAACGTAAATTTAAGCGAGATAAAAGTCATGTGCACACATATATCAACATAGATAAAGGAAAGAGTATGTTTCACATAAACTATACTAGACAGGTATATTAACGCTTACTTGGATGAAATTGATTTAAATTACAGGAAATATTCTAAATATAGATTGGAAAGTGAAATAAATTAAGCGATGTATAAAGAAAGAAACTAAATAAAAGTATCAGACTTTGCATCCATATATTTGTTTTTAGTATGACCTTCTTAATATGTGACATATTCTTTTCGGTCAACGGGTCACTCAGTTCATCTTTTAATTTTCATATACATATATATACTTTTCTATCATCAATAATTCTATAAACATACGGTGGACTATTTTGCGACAAATAAAGATAATATTCCCTTACAGAAAATTTTCGCAAATATGCTTATTTCATTAAGTATTCTTGCCTATAAATCGCCTTATTAAATCTATTTTCCATTATTATAATGAATCCATAAGACTCATGCAGAGATAAGATAGCTAATGCTTAAGAAAATACTATTATATTTACTAACAATGGGTTAAAATTGTGCAAGATGCTTCAGTTTTTATTGTGTACGATTCTATTGAGCAACTTTTCTGACTCACCTAATTGAATTCGATATTGGGGTTGTTGTCATTGAAGTGATTGATCTATTGTGTTTTGTTGGTATTGATCGTTGAGTTACATTGACTATTAATTGACAATGACGAGCTTTCAGTAAATTTGACATACGCGTGCACGTAGTAAAGAGAAGAGCGATTTTGGCCTATTTGTTATATGTATTTTGGTTCTATTAATTAGTATTTGTCAACGTCTTCTATGTTTGTCTGATGCTAATAGCAATCTAGAGCTTGATAAAAAAAAGAAAAAACTAATTCAAATAACATTTTTTAAAAAATCGAATATGTATTATCATCACATTTATCCGCTTTTTTGTAAGATTTAAAGAAATATGTAAATTTTTCAAGACAGAATGATTTATTTGCGAAGAATTAATGCAAATATTTTTACAGTAAAACAACAACAGAGGTAGAAATTTAAAAAAATAAATCACTTTTAGCAAGTTCAAAGATCGATAAGCCTATAGAAAAACTGTCATAATAACAATCACGATAGTTTTATTTCTAATGGTAGTTATAAGATCCATATAGAATAGGGTTGTAAACCTCTCTAAATATTTATTCTTCAAAAAATAAATAAATTAAATTTATAGAAACTATTGATTATAAATGATACACAAATGAAACTATAATCATTAAAAATCTTTTTTTCATAGATGTCACTAAATCGAAGGATTTTTGTGTTATATTTATTTTATTATTTGATAAAAAGAGAAGAAAATAATAATGTTCTGTAATATAAAAAAAAGAAGAGCAATTGATGATTAAACTTGTTCAGTAAAGACACTAACAAATTCTAAAATATAGATAATCGATATATAGTTATTAAGATAATTAATTATAATTACCATCAAATGATAATCGACCATCTTTATCAATATCAACTAATGCAATCATTTCATTGATTTCTTCTTTTGTTAATTTCATATCATCATTTCCATTAGTTAATACACGCATAGCTAGTCGTAAATCTTCACTGTCAATTAATCCATTACCATCTGTATCGAATGAATTAAATATTTCACGTAATTGTTTTCTCTCATCAATATATAGAGTCTTTTTTAATATAGACATCATAGTCAAAAATTGATTACAATTGATTAATTTTTTTTCTATAATAAAGAAAAACTCAATTGAATACATATAATATGCAATTTTTAAACAAACCTGCATCAACAATATTTTCAATTAATTGTTGAATTTCATTATCGGATGGATTACGTTCTAATGAACGAATCAATTTACTTAATTCTTTCGAATTTATTAAACCATCTTTATCATGATCGGATATAAAAAATGCTTGTTTATATTCTATTCAGAAATATTACATTGTTTTCAAATGAATTTTATAAAAATAGAATTTATTACCAATTTCTTCTTCATTTGTTAATGGTTCTCTCTTAAATTATTTTGAAATATGAATATACAATAAAATAAACTAAAATCTTACTGGTAAAATACTTTTTCGTGGCGCATTTATACCTTGTTTTAGACTACTCATTTTCTATTGTATTTCGTATTGGAAAAAAAATCAAATATGATGAGAAGCCAATTGCATGTATAAGATTATTAATCAATATTCAAATCAAAGACAATTTTAGTTTGAAGAAACACTTTAAATTGAATTAGTGATTGGTTCTTTAACAAAAGCAAATAAATGAATGTTATCAATCTTTAATAATACATTTCCAGAGAATGATATCTACGTTTTCTTCCTCTTCGTTTTAATAACCTTGAAATGCGAAAAGTCTACATTTCCGAGCTTCCTATAAATGAATTCTATTTTAGGTAATGTCGATATTTTCATCCCGTGTTTTAACCACTACTGGTAACTTCCCAGACAGACAGGATTTTTGAAAACTCACAAAGGACAATATCAACATTGCGCTTTGCATCATATTAACGATTTATTATTTGCTCAAACAACTACTGAATTTCGATTGATATAGCACAAATGTATTTCGTGAATCTTATTCTCACGTAAATAAATAATCATAATAAAAATATCAATTAGCTTTTAAACTTGTCATTTTGTGCTTGAATCATTGGTATGCATCTTAGTGTATCGAGAACGTGTACAAGATATTTCTACACATTACGCTATGCAAAATTGATATATAATTGCCTTGTTTGGTTCGTATGATTTAACACATATCTCGTTAAACGTCATAGAAAAATATTTATTAAACCCTACTACCTAAATTGGTAATCATTTCTATCGAAATACTCCCTGCTTGTTTTGTATGACCCTAAGTCTTTAATTTATTTTCTCAAAAATTTCTTCAGCAGTCTTAGAAGATTTGATGTTTTTTTTTCAAATGTGTTTGATATTTTTAATCAACAACAAAACAATAGAAATAACAGGCATAAAACGCCAACACAAAATTGTTGAGTATAAAACAACAATATTATTAATCTTCCATTGATTCTTTTGTATCATTTTCTTCTTTAATCTTATTTTTACCAGTCGGTCTAAAATATTTAATAATATTTTACAAAATAAAATAAACTGTAAAAAATTAATCTTTACCGGTAACTACCAACAACAATGGCATGATCACGTTCGTATGGTTCCAATGTAAGTTGTTCTTTTGGTTTAAGTTTTTCACTTTGAAGTTTTTTGACTTCACCAGCAAAAACAGCTTCTGGTGCAGCTGTTGAATCAATACAACTAGCCTATTAAGTCAAATATATTTTATCATTCGGAAATCGAAATTTTTGATTATTTACTTTAATTGAAATAACAAAATTACCACCATTTTTCAAAAAATGATGTGCATTAAGTGCAACAATACGAGCTTGATCCGGTTGAGCAACATCTGCAAATATTGTATCAACCATACCTATACGAAATAAAAATTTAATTTTCTATTTAAATGATATTAAGTTTATTTTCTAACCAATAAGCATTCGATATTTATGTGGATGACGAGCATCTTCAATAATTGGTATAATATTTGTTCGTTTTTTTGCTACATTTAACAAATCACGACCAGAACGATGAGAAAATTCAACAGCATAAACAAGACCCTCCTGAATAAAAGAAAACATAAATATTTTAAATGAAATAAAAATTAAGTACGTACTGGTCCGACTATATCAGATACATGAGATACAGTTGTACCACTTGCTGCACCAAGATAAAGAACTTTTGTACCTGGTGGCATATGAATATTATCAACACCACTGAGAATAGCAGCACCTAATTTCGAACGAAATGGATTCCACACACGGTATTCGATTTTTTCCTGATTTTCTCCCTTAAAAAAAGAAGTTTAATTTACTCTTTTTTTTTGAAAATGTAACATACATCGGCACTAATGCGTTTTTCTCCATAAACACTTTCGCCAACGACCATATTTTTAGTTAATAACATGTCATCATCTTTTGATCGAGCGATAAATACTCCTATAGAAAAATGACCAAGAAAAATAAGAAAATCATTCGAATAATAGTAAACTAACCTGGATGACGATGGGGTTCAACGACGACTTTCTTTCCGCCACCACCTTACGATTGAAAATATATTATTATTTATTAGAAAAATATATCTTTATTTACCTGCACCTCCGCCACGGCCACCTCGACCACCGCCGCGTCCGCCACCACGTCCTCCTAAGAAAAAAATATTCATACAATTAAATACAACTTTAAGGAAACTACTTACGTCCCCCACCGCGGACACCACCTCCACGTGTACCTATTAGTTATATTCTCTATTTTTTTTTTTTATTATTCAAAAAGCTTACCACGACCACCGCGATCACCACCACCTAAATAAAATTTACATGATATAAAAATTAACTATCTAAATAAAATCTTACCTCGACCGCCACGAAAACCGCCACGATCACCGCCGCCTATACAACATGAGTTTATTTAAATTAAAAAATCAAGTATCTCTTACCTCTTCCGCGGCCTCCAAAGCCTCCTCGGCCTCCTCGAAAATCTGTTTAAATAAAAGATATACTTTTCAGAAATATTTCTCCTTGAAATTACCTGGTGGACCCATGTGTAGAGTTAGATTATTTAAATAATAATCTAAAATAAATATATATTTTATTGAAATATTTAAAGAGGAAGATTGTACGATTAAGAGAAAAGTTCAAATTAGTTTAACTGAACTAATTTCGTAATTTTTCACAAAAAATGAATGTGCCAATCAACGTTCAATCAGAAAGTTCCCATTTCGGACTATAAATTTTTTCGATTATTTCATCTTAAAACTATAATTAGTTTAAGAAAAACAATTATTTTTTAAAAATTTAATGAAAGTAATAAACGATAAGTTTCTTTTTTTTGTGTTTGAAATAATAGGTGACGCTAGTTATAGTACATTGAAATCAAAAGAGGCTATATACAACCCAATTACTTATCTTGTTCTCTCACTACGTAGTGTTATCGACGATAAATAAACATTATCTATAGTAGACGTTATCACTCATTCAATGTTCTTTAAAAGATTTTATGAGTCTTTTTTTTTGTTAAATGATGTAATACATCTCCATTAGACGAATTGATTACCGATTATTTCACATCATTTTGATCTTTTTTCTGAACTTTATTAACAATTTAAACAAAAAATAAAACCACATCGATATCTATTAGATAGAGTTTCTATTATGGATAATAATATCTTTTTTCCGATCACGTATTTTGTTTCTATTCTTTGTTAAATACATCATATTGATCCCATAAAGTATTAAGCTCATGAATATGTTTAGTTTTTTCTCTGAAGCATGTTTCTAAACGACGATTTTGTTCATCAGATAATACTGTACGCCAATCGCCTGTTATTCCTTTTCGAAGGAATTTAAAAGTTGCAACATTATCTTTTGAATCAATTTTTTCATTGTATCTAGCTTTGTTCAAATAATCAAAACTGGAAACTATAACAATACGTTCAAGTAATTCTTCGCTGATTTTTATGTCGAGAAAGTTGGCTACTCGTTTGATTACTGATCGAATATCTTTCTGCATATCTTCATATAGAATAAGTAATACATTATCATCATTTCTATGAGCCCAACATGATATAAGATGCTCAAAATAATCTACATGACCTGTTTTACCAGCAAGGAAATCATTAAAAAATGTATCAAATGCAATATCATTCTGTGCTCCTCTTCCTATCGAAGTAATAAATCGATGAAATGAAACACAAACATCTTTAGGATTACGAATAACAGTTATATATTTAGCATTTGAATTATAAGGAAGATAATTGAAAACTAGATGGGTTTTGATAGCACCAGGTCGTTGCATACTTTCAATAGCTTGTTGTCCATCCATTTCAAGAAATGGATTGCTAGCTTTGTAATCATTGATATCATCATCGAATGCACGACCATTCATAAGAAGAGCATAGACAATTGTTTGCATCCATGTAGTACCTGATTTAGGTATTGTAGCAATAAATATATCATTATCATGTGGGATATATTCCAAAGCAGAATGAACGATTTCCAGGTTGTATAACTTAGAAAAAAATCGCATGCCTTTAATATTGAGGAATAAATTAGAATTGGTCACTTCCATTTCTTCACTAGTGTTGGTTATTCTATTTAAAGTAGATAAAAAGAAAATGGTTGACTAGTTTTTTCTTACATATTTGATCTATGCTAAACTTTTGTATATAATCAGACTCATAAATCCAGAAAAATCTATTCGAAAGAAGAATAGTTTGAATGATTTGTATATACTAACTCAATATAGCACTGTGATTTTTAAAGAAAAAGCTTCTGACAGTTTGATAAAAGTAACTTTAAAATAAATTTATATAGAACTCAAGTTTAAAAATATCTTTTTTTAAGTTACCTGTTACTATGGCACAATAATTTATGTAGATTGTTTGAAAGCTTTATAGTCTTTACCACTTCCGAGTTACCTGTACGTTTACTTAAAAAACGAAATAGTACATTTGCTTTTTTTGTTGTGCAAGAATGGAGATACTATTATATATTTATACTTTATATATAGATATTTGCTTTTTATACCTGGCTAGGTTTTACTCTATATAACAAAACAAAAACCGGTTTTCACTGGATAAATAACAAATACGTTGATAATCATAATACAGGTAAAGAATAATATATATATGATATAATAGTGACAATATAGGTAAGTCATTGATGTTTTTCTTTTTGTATCGAAAGATAAACTCATACACCATAGTTAATCACTATACGAAAGATCATGTTGATAAAAATAGATGAATTTATTCAGAATATTGATTATTGAACGACGTATTTAAAAAATCCTAAATGTATGTCCTTTTTTCATGTTTATTCAAAAGAAAAAAAGGTCAAGTAGTTGTGTCGGATGATTTTTAAACTAATAACAAAATGAGATGATTCATTTTTTGTTTCTTTCTAACTATGCATTTGTTTTTGAATGGATCAAATCTTAAGACGAATTTAATTTGATTTATATCTCTCAAAATCATTCTAATATGAAATTTGATCTCAAAGAAAATTGATATCATGCATTTCAATCTTTATTGTATATGTTCACAAGAAAAAAAATTATTTATTTTTAATAATGCTATATTCTGCTAAAATAGTAAATCAGTGTTTGATCTATAGTATTACTTTTAGATTAGAACCATTCTATAATGTTTTCATGCTTTTATATTTCTACAGACAAGTTTCGTGAAAATATATATATATTAATTCTTTATTGTTTTTTTTATTACACTGTTATTTACCGATTGTCTATAATAATACCAGTAAGAGCTTAATATTACGTGTGCATATACTGATAATCTACTAGTATTTGCCAACACATTTTTTCTATTTTTGAATTCAAGTAATGATTAAACTGACTCACCTTAACGTATGAAGAGTGATGAATTCTAAATGAATCAATGGGAATAGAATTTATTTAAATTTTTAATATATAACAACGACAATTATCAGACTATATTTATTACATCAATCTTTTGTTGTCCTCAATGTTATTCATTGTCAATGACAACGAAATAGAAATAACAAGCGCGAATGATAATGAGAGATAAAAACAACATTGCACTCAGTCATATATCATTTTATTAAATTCTATATAGATCATATGAATCGAAATATACGTTATTAAATTGTTATTTTGTTTTAAATGGAACTTAATATGTGTTAGATTTAACTCATCGAAATTATTTTGTCAAAAATAACTAATAGTATTTTTTTTATTCGGTATCATTTATGACTAACACCCCCTCGAACCACCAAGATAACAGGTAAATGCTATCAAGACAAAACAACGCGTGTTTTCGATTCTTTAATAAAAAAAAAAGAGTAAACCATAGATAACAAAATGGCCGCACAACCAGTCCTACCATCAACAACAAAATCTAATGAACTTCTTCGTTTCTGTTTTGCAAGCTTCTCTCAAGGCTTTGCTGGCTTCTGTACTAAGTAATTAGTAATAGCATGATTTGTTAATTAATTTTCTTTCTTTATTATTAAAGTCCTATTGATGTAATTAAAACACGTATGCAAGTTGATGGAGAATTACAAACAACACGTAATGTTGGTGAACAAATGCAGAATCGTTATTATAAAGGTCTTGTACGTGGATCACTGCGTATTGTTCGAGAAGAAGGTTTAGCTGGTCTTATGCGAGGTGCTGTTCCAGGCACATTACGAGATGCTACTTATTCCGGTATGCGTATAGTAAGTATTTATTTACTGAATTGTAGTTTTCTTAGCTAAATTTTTATTTATTCAAATAGTTTCTATACGAGCCATTCAAAAATTTGTTCGGCGGTGCTAGTCGTCTTCATGAGAAAATTGCAGCTGGTGCATGTGCAGGTGCAATATCGAGTTTTTTTGCGACACCACTTGATGTTGTCAAAATTCGTTTACAAGTCAAAGGTGAACGACGCTATCGTGGTTTAATGCATGGTCTTATTGATGTAGGTAAAACAGAAGGTATAGCAGGCCTTTATAAAGGTTGGGCACCAACTATGATTCGTGCTGCTGTACTTACTGGAAGTCAAGTAGCATCTTACGATCAAATTAAACGAGCATTAATTAATCATAATTATATGCAAGAAGGTTTAGCTTTACATACTGTTGCTTCATTTTTTGCTGGTCTTATTTGTTCATTAACAACATCACCAGTCGATGTAATTAAAACTCGATATCAAAATACTCCTGCACATTTAGGTAAATATTCAAGTGTATTCGATTGTTTTATTCAATCAGTTAAAGCTGAAGGTATCTATGGTCTTTATAAGGGTTTCTTACCTAATTGGATGCGTCTTGGACCACATTCAATAATTTCGTTTCTTATGTATGATAATATGTGTATCGCTTTTGGTTTAAAACCAATTTAGTGTATTCATGTTTATTGTTAGATTTAATTAATATTGATTAGTAGATTATTTTTCAATAAAAATTATCCCTAATGAATTTTATATTTCTTTCAAAAGAATCGATCTGATTTCATTCTTCCCTTTGAATTAATATATGACAATGTATAATCAAGATTTAATAAAATACGACTAATTTTTTTTATTATAAACGCTAATTTTAATTTGCTTTTTTTTCTATCATCAATCGAGACATCACATATATATATAACATAACAAAAAGAAAACAAAAAAATATAGACCTTATTATACATAGAGAAGATGCACATATACATCGACACACAAAAAAAAATAATATCTGAATTAATATGATAAAGAATGGCACACATCTTAGTAAATGATGATTATGCCTTTGAAATATAGAATTGCAATCGTTTATTTTTTTTTCGAAGAAAGAAAACATCATTTATTCATTATCGCTCACTTCAGGTGATGCTTCCATTTTTAAAACTCGTCGTTTTTTAATAATTGGTTTTTCATCATCAGATGAATTGTCGTCTTTATTTATTTCAACATTATCTTCAATTTCACTACTTGCACGTCGTTTTCGTTTACCAGTAAAAACCGATTCATCATCATCATCAGCAGTTCGACCTTGTCCACGTAATGTTCGACCACCTTTTACATGCCCTAAAAAAAGAAAATATTTGATATTAAAAAAAGCCATAGTCATAATAAATTCGTCTTACCTGTAACATCAACAGAGGTCGATTGAATTTCAAGTAATTCTTTTTCAGTATCACGTTTTTCACGAAATTTTTGACAATCTTTTATAGTTAAACTACCTAAATGAAATTATTTTATTTTGGCGAAAAATGAATTTCTATATAACAAACCTGTATAACCAGCAGTATCAAAAAGTGATTTAAGATAATTAATTTTAGCTTTATGTGATTTTAATCCTTCTAATTCGGTTTTTTTAATAATAAGTCGAATACCAGATATACGAAGTAATTTTTTTAAATGTTCAATACGTGATTGACCTTGATCACCCTTATCTTTCTTTTGTGATGGTTTCTTTTTATCATTAGTTGTGGTTGTTGTTTGTTCATCATTTTCATTTTTCGATGAGTTAATTTCTGTATCATCATTTGGTGTGTGTTCATCCTTTGATGGTGATACTGTTGTATCATCAGTGATTACTGGTTTATCTTTAGATTTTTTCTTTGATGATCTTTTGGTAGTAGGATTCTTTTTTGTTATCGTTTGTTCATCGTTTTCATTTTTCGGTGAGGACATTTCCGTATCATCATTTGGAATCTGTTCGTCTTTTGATGGTGATACTATTGTCTCATCGTTGATTACTTGTTTATCTTTAGATTTTTTCTTTGATAATCTTTTGGTAGTAGGATTCTTTTTTGTTGTTGTTTGTTCATCGTCTTCGTTTTTCGGCGAGGATATTTCTGTATCATCATTTGGAGCTTCTTCGTCTTTGTCATTTTTTGATGGTGATGCTGTTGTATCATCAGTGGTTACTTGTTTATCTTTAGATTTTTTCTTTGATAATCTTTTAGCGGGAGGATTCTTTGTTTCCTTTTTATTTTTTTTCTTGCTTTTTGGTTTAGGTGTTTCTTCTTGAGATTCATTAAGTGTCGATGATGAGGATGATGAAATTGTTCGTTTTGATGCTCGTTTATTTTCATCACGAGCAAGATTAACACGTGGAATACGAAGTGAAAATTCTTTTGATGTTGGTGATAAATCATCATTGTTTTCATCGTCTTTATCTTCTTCTTCGTCTTCAGTTTCACTACTTAAATCATCTAAAAAATTAAACAAGGTTTGTACAAAAAAAAATCTTCTATTAGAGATAATCGGAAGTTATCTACTTTGATCGAAAATTTAAGATAATGAACTTACAAGGTGTAGTTGTTTTTGCTGGTAAATCTTTTGATTCTTCTTTTTTATCGGTTGTTTCAATTGATGGATCTGTATTTTCTTTATCTGTTTCTAATTTTGTTGGTGTTGTCGGTTCAACAAAAGATAATTTTCGATTTGATCGTATTGGTTTACATGAAGCACTTTTAATCATTTCATCAAGTTTACTTGCATTTGATTTAACTGTTGAACGTGAATATGCTGTTTGACGTAATGAATTCGATCTTTTAGCAAGCCAATCAGTTGAAACACCAAATTTTTTCATATTATTTAAAAAAAGTGGAGAAAATGGTTTTGTTAATGTTATTGATGATGCTGTTGATGGTTTTTCTGAATCACTTGATGATTCTTCACTTTCACTTTCTTCGTTGGCTTCTTC